TTATTTGCAGCATGTGGTTGAGTATGAAGTTACTTTAGAATTGTTTGTAGAGTATTATTTTATTTATTTATTTATTATCTAAATACCACATGAAAAAAGTTTCAAGAAATTAAAATAGGGACTCACTTAAGATAATAATACAGATATAGATATAGACAGATAGTATAGATATATATATTTTTTATGTTTTATAATTTTGGTATTCTAGATGTTGGGCAAAGGAGTTCTAAAAGTTGGGCTGACCTTAGGTTGGAAATCTAAATCCAATTTCAGCATGCGTGGGCTTCGATTGGGTCTTGGCCCAACACTATAAAATACTAATCTTGCATGTTTGTTTCTTTCTTAATTTAATGTATGTTTTGGATATCAAGTTACTGTATATAATAGTTCTTTATAGATATTGAATGTTGTACAACTATGTCTTAATCAATTCAAACAATATGATTAAGAGACCAAACAAATCATGATTAGACCACACTTTCTATGAGTAAGTCACATGTTTCATGTAATAATGGTGAATATCGTTAGTTTGTGGCATTAGCTCAAGTCATGGAAATATAAATTTGACTGGCACGTGTTATTAATAGTTAATCAAATTTTTTACATGATATTTATGTCACCAAATTGTTATATTATTGTTTTGTTTTATGGAAAAATCATATTATTCTTTTATCTAACGGTTAGATGTAGAAACAATAATAAATGATATTTGTTTTGCTTTATGTTAAAAGAGTAATATTAGAGACCTTAAAAATTTTATCAAAAGTTTTACCAAGTGTCTGACATTTGGGACCTACACAATGTGGGTCCCACACCCATGTGAGACGGTAGAATTTTTGGTAAAATTTTTGAGACCTCTAACATTTTTGATGTTAAAAAGCAACATAAAAGTAGTGAGTCGCATTATTTAATCTATAAAAATTAAATTGGAACGCCATATCATCTTATCCCATGATCAGTAAATAATTTTTCTAATTAGAATGTGTTCTCGTGGCAGTGATGCTTTCACACAATCTCCTCTCTCGATATAATCTTGATGTACATTTTCTTTGCATCAATAAAATTATTCTTTACGTGTAAATAAATAAATAATCACTTATTTTACGTGAACTGGATAATTTCTCTATAGATTTTTTTTTAGTGTCCTTGAATCAATTTATTACTAGTCCCCCTAACCCGGTAGTAGCTCCTCCAAATTTTTGCAATCTTCTATTCTTATTTCCAAAAAAAAAATAAAAAAGAGAATTTTGTCATTTCTACAAAAGTTACATATTAATAAAAATTAAACAAGAAGTGCACTTGGTGAAAAAAAAAGAGTAGAAATAAAAATAGTGCCACCTTCCTACTTCCAAAAATTGATGATGGTTAATGTTAATGACATCAAGTTGTATTTTCAATAAATAATTTTACAGTAAGTCTTCTTGCCTAGAAAGTATGGCTAGATTCTTACCTAAAAAATAGAAGTATAGTTGAAATTGAATTGATATATTGCGAGGTATATGAATAAATTTGGACTTGAGTAAAATTTTCAATAAAAATTTTAAGTGTATAATATTACTGATAAATTTATAATAATATCTAAACTGAAGGTGTTCGTATGAACACTAAGCTAAATGGCCGCTCAAGAGCATTCATTGTTAGAGATTCCAAATATTTTATCGAATGTTTTATCAAATATCTTATATGGGTGTGAGACCCACACCATGTAATCTTACCTAAAAAATAGAAGTATAGTTGAAATTGAATTGATATATTGCGAGGTATATGAATAAATTTGGACTTGAGTAAAATTTTCAATAAAAATTTTAAGTGTATAATATTACTGATAAATTTATAATAATATCTAAACTGAAGGTGTTCGTATGAACACTAAGCTAAATGGCCGCCCAAGAGCATTCATTGTCAGAGATTCCAAATATTTTATCGAATGTTTTATCAAATATTTTATATGGGTGTGAGACCCACACCATGTAAGTCTCATACCCATGTAAGTAAAATATTTGGTAAAATATTTAGGATTTCCAACATTTTTTTTCATTGTAACATCTTTTAACTTTATTAAAAACGTTTTAAGGTTAGATTGAGGAACAATATCATATTCATATGGCGTGGTGTGCCAGGTAGTTGTTAATTTAGACTGTATTATTCATATATATATATATATATATATATATATTTGTGTGTGATTGTTTTGGAAGATGATATAAAACAATTAATGTGAACAATTGTTCCCAAAGCAACAAATATTATTATGTTAATAAAACAATGATAATCAGGACCACATTAGTCTAGATGAACTCTTCTACATACCTCATTTCTTCGTACCTCTTCATACCTTTCTTGTAGACTCTAATCCGAACAAACACCAATAATCCAAACTATTTATCTCATAAACTTATCAATAAAAATTATTCATACAAAATATCAATTTTATCAAACAATTATAAATACAAGAGTAAATCACATTTTATTTTATAAAATAAATAATTTAAGTTTACAATTCATAAATTGCTCATTTTATAAAACGAATATGATTTGCTCATGTTTTTATACTATAAAACTTATTTTTTGTTTGGATAACTTTTACTACAAGCCTTTTGAGATAGACTGCTCAAATCATTGGTGTTTGCCAAGATTAAAATGTTAGATAATATCTCAATGGGACAAAAATCAGATATAAAAAATACAAAACATAATTAAAATTGATTTTGATTGGTTTTCCTTCAAACTAATTTTGAAAATTTTGAAAATTCAAATTTTAAAAATCTATTTTTCTATCATGTAAGTTTTGTTTAATTAGAAATGAAAATAATTAAAAATGATTGAAAACACCATGTTCTTAAAAAGTTTAGTATACATTTTTTTAAATTACTTTTTTTGAAAAAAGAAACTATTTCAATCTTCTCTATTATTTTGTTTGGGGGAATATTAAATAAATAAATAAAATGAAGAAATTTTATTGTAAATTAATTGAGTGGATTAAAATATTGTATGTGAGAATATAATTGTCAATTATATTTCATTTATTTATAATTAACTTCTTTGAGAAATGTTACGAGTAATATTAACAACTAAAAATTCAGACATCAAAAAAAAAAAAATTTTATGTGATCCAGATTCGTGTGAGTACCAATTCCACCATGGGAAATTATTCAATATTCCCAGAGTATCATATGTCTGTACGCCTTAACTAATTATCATTTAATATGTCCTCTTATGTTTCCTAATCACCAAAACAATGCACACCTACCCACCTTCTTCACCAATCATAATACTATAGAATACTACGTGTCCATACTTCGAAATTACTGAATAACTACCCTTCCGCCATAGTGGTTCAAATTTTTGTGTTTTGAGCTTTTGGTTCTAAATTTTATTTACTGTGTTTGACTTTAATTTTTTTAATTTAATTTTTGAAAAATTGAGGGTTGTTTTTATTTTTTTATAAATATTTTTAGTGAATATTTTTAAATTTTTAACAATTTTTTTTTAGATGTACCTTACTTGGATATATCTAAAAAGTAAAATATTTATAAGACATATTTTAAAAAATCAATAAATATACAAAAAAATAAAAATATACTAAATTTTTGTACTTTTGATATTTAGTGACTTTTTTAAAAATTCATTTCACAAATATTATACTTTATAAGTGTACTTATATTAAGTGTATTTAAAAATTTAAAAAAATTATTTCAAATATTAAAAAAAATTCAGTAAACAAAAAAAAATATTAAAAATAAAAAATTTTAATAAAAAATGAATCATGAAAAGTGAAACTAAACAAGCTGAGGTTTTCAATTTATCCTTTTGCTTCTTGTTTTAAAAAATAATGGCCATATTTAGTTTGAATTTTATAAATATTTTTTGTTGAAAAATTAAAAATTAATTGAGTGAATGAAATAAATAAAAAAATTCAAAATTCTAATCATTTTTATATTACTTTACTTTTTAAATATTTTTTTATCAAATTAATTTCTATTTTTTTTAAAAATTCTTAAAAAAGTTTCTAACAAACAAATCGTAGCCAATATAAAACATTATTATAGCTCATTTTGAAAAGTGAGTTAAAAGTCACTTCTAAATTTTTCACCTACTTTTTTTTCTTACAAAAAAATTAAAAAAAATTAAAAAATAATTTTTAACCATCTTCCCAAATCAATAGCTAAATATAATCGAAAGGGTAGTTATTTGGACAACCTGAAAGTGAAAAGACAAAATTAGCCTTTCTGATAGTCATGGAGCGTATGATGAATTCGGTTAATATTGTCTTTTTCTGGATTTATGGGCGTCGCAGTAATCAAAGCCGGGCCCAAAATCAATGTCATTGTCAGCGAAGGAAATAGAACGAAAAAAAAAAAACAAATAAATAAATAAAATAAAATAAAAAATTAATAATAATAAGAGAAACTTCCACTTCAGAGGTGATTTTAAAAAATAATTATAGATAAATAATAAATTTTATAACTATTAAAATTAAAAATATAAATCTTTTCATGATTTTTTTTAATTACAAATTTTTTTTTCAAGATTTTGAATATTTTTCATTTTAAACCCCATTATTTTATTTTTAACAAATTAAATATTAGAGTTTCATCCGTATTTTAATTTACTTTCTCCGTCCATCTCCGTGTATATAACGTAAATGGAGAGATTTAAAGTGAAAAACATTAGATTTGAAGTTAGAAAAATGCGAAACCTCGTAATTTTTTGTATAATTAATTATTTTTTAAAATTAAAATTACTAAAAATAAAAAGGATTAATTACAAAATAAATTTCAAAATTTCACTTATTTTTCATTTTAAATCTCAATATTTTTACTTTAAATCTCCTCTGCTACTTATATATGAAATTTTAGAATTTAATGTATCAAAATTCAAATATTAAGATTTGAAGTAAAAAAACGCATAAACTTTGAATTTTTTTTTGTGATTATTTATTTATTTATTTGTGGTAATCATCACTGATTCGTAATATTTTTTAATAATAAACAAAAATAAAAATAAAGTGGAAGAAGACTCAAGAGAGAGATGAAGTGGAATGAGAGAGAAAAAGATTGACACAGAAGAGAGAGAGTAGAGAGAGAAGTTGAGGTTTTGAGGTCTCTGACACAGCCACCATCCATTTGCCGACCGCCACGCCACGCTCTCTGCCGCCGCCTCCGCCACCAAAACCGATTTTGTGGTCCAACCCACCACCGCCACCACCACCACCTTGGTTCCTACTAGAGCTCTCACTTTCTCTCTCTTTCCTCAATTCTCTCTCTCCAAAAATCTTTTCCTTTCTCTCTTGTCTCCTCTCTCTTTTTTGGTGTGGAAAAATCTCCATAATCTGACCTGAACCTTAGCCTTAATCCATGTCTTGCAATTTTCACGTATAGGTTCTCTGATCGAAGTTGTTACAAAACTGAAAAACACCTTTTTCAGTTCTTTATTGAGATGGGATTGAACCTAAACAAACCCATTTCTCTATGATCACAGTACTTTCCACTCGACTCATTAACTCCCTCTCAATCTCTCTCTCATCATCCACTTTCTCTCTCTACATATTTCTCATTAGGTTGTGAAAATCCAAGGAGATTTCATTTGGTCAGACAGAGATTTATTAGTTTTTGGGATTTCCATTTCCTAATCTTGTATTAATGAACCCATGGTTTTTTAGGTGAGAGAAAATCTTCATGCAATGAGAAAACAATTGCTGTTGCTGCTTATTTTCCCACCCATCAGATTCTCAGCATCCAAACAGACACGTTGAGTTCATACATATCTCTAGAGCGAGCCTAGAGATTGAAAATTTAAGTTTCATGCACCTAAGCCCTATCCACACCCATATCTCATATTTAAGATCACTAAGCAAAGAAGATCAATATATCAAATACACACCTATATATAGAGAGATATAGAGAGGTGTGAAAAATGGAGCAAGAAGAGGGTATGAAGCAACAGCAGCAAGATCATCACCACCACCACCACCGGCGGCTGAAGCCACCGCAGACGGCGGTGCAATCGGACCAACAGACACCGCAGCCGCAGCAGCAGCCGCAGAAGTGTCCTCGGTGTGACTCGCTCAACACCAAGTTCTGCTACTACAACAATTACAGTTTATCGCAGCCGCGGTACTTTTGCAAGACTTGCCGGAGGTACTGGACTCAGGGCGGAACCCTAAGGAACGTCCCAGTTGGAGGCGGTTGTCGGAAGGGGAAGCGGTCCAAGGCCGCCGCCTCGTCTTCTGGCGGTGAGAATTCGAGATCTTCGCAACCATCGCCGACACCACAAACACAGCCACAACTACCACAACCACCACCGTCACATGAGCTCCAATTGCCTCAGAATTTAGCGGCCCCCGACAATCATTCGCCAATGAGTTCTTACTATTCCGGTAGTGGGTTTTTATCGTCTCTGGCGGCGATGCAATCTATGAGCCACCACCACCATCACCAGCTTCCACCACCACCAGCAGCCTTCAATCAAAACCAATCACTCCATGTTGGTGGCCAATTTGGTGGCTCTTCTTCTAACATGGCTCTTTTACAGGGTTTCAATGTGCCATCTTTTAGTTCACAACAACAGCAGGCTCAAAATCAGCAGATTCAACACCAAAATGAGTATTACCAAATGGGTAATAGAGATAAGAACTTAGAGTCCTTATACCCATCTGATCAGAGTTTGATTCACCCAAACAGGCCTGCTGCTTCTTGGAATCAAACCCTCACTGCTAACCCTGGCTCTTCCTCTAATCCCAGTTTCTGGAACCCCACCACCACCAACAACAGCAACACTACTGGGACTTCTTCTCTGAACCCAAATCAATGGTCTGATCTACAAGGTTATGGCCATCCTCCATGATCTTCATCAATACCCATTTCTTGATAACCCTTGCAAGCTATATATCTAGCCACCAAAAGCATAAGTTTTCAATCTTTCCTTTCACTTTTTGTGCTTGATCGGGTTAAAAAGAACATGGTGTGAAGTGGGTATTCATGTAAATGAAGGATACACAACAAGAGATAGGCATTTTGTTTGTTCTTATTATCTTCTTTCTTATAGGGAATTTTTCTGGGTTGGATTGTGTTTTGTAACTTTTGATTAAAGCTAATGAATTTGTTTTGTTTGGTTGCTTTTAATTCAGCTTTTATGTAGAGTTACCAGTTTATTTAAAAGAAAAGTGAGTTGCTTTATTATTTACTTTGGAGTTTGGACTTTGTGTCTTGGAATTAAACTACTAGGGTTTTGTAGATGGTGAAAAAAAAGTCCAGAGAGCACTTGATGAAATGAAGAAGTTGAACATGTTATTGTTGCATGGAGAGGTGAGCAAATTCCTTTTGTAAAAGTTGATAGATAGACAAGATGGTTCGTTTATGCGCATGTGGGTTCCGAATCTGTCTGATGATTTTAATGCTTTTACTTTAATAATTTTATAATATTAATTTTACAATCTATAACCAGTATTTTTAAAATATTATGTAATATTATTCATGTATTTTTAATTACAACAATAATTTAAAACACTAAAAAATGTATCATTAATAGTATTAATATATTGGGAATGATAAAAAAAATAATAAAAAAGTAAAAACAAGGCATAGAAAGTGGACGGGACCTACTGTCACATCATTAATGCTCCTTTTAGTGATCCCTTTTTAGTACTCTCAAGTATTTTTTTTTTTTAATTAATGATGTTAAAAAAAATTTAAGAGTAAAATAATCTTGACTCAATTTTATTATATTTAGATTAATGCTACTGTTCTAGAAAATTCAACCTAAAAATTTTAAGGTATTATAGTTGTGTAAAGGAGAAGGAAAATTTTGTAAAATTAAGTATTACTGCTATATTTATCATTCTTTACAAATTTTATTTAATAGAAAATGTAAATAAAATCACATAATATATTATAGAATTACCTAACAATTTTTTATATTTTCTCCTTTTTCTCTACCCTATCCTCTCACAGCCTCTCTTTCTCTCAAAATCAACCTTCCACAATTACTTTCTATTGGGTGGTCACCGACATCATAAAATGTGCAAAATTTGTTCATGTAAACAATAGGCACTACTACATTTGTTTGTTTTGTATTTTTATCTCATTAGTTCAACTAATGAGATGTTTTGCATTGTTTATCTTTGTGAATAAATTTCTCTCGCGTTATAAATGTTTTCAATCTTGGTTTGTGAGAGGGTAATTTGTATAATTAAATTGAGCCGAGCTAAGTTGGTGTGGCGGTCAAAGATGTTTGATCACACTAATAAATACTCATATTTCTGGACCTAATTACTTTCTAGTGGCGGTCAAAGAAGTTTGACCAAACAAGTAAATGTCTATATTCCTAGACCTAGCTACTTCCTAGTGATAGTCAAAGATGTTTGACCGAACTAGTAAATGCTCATATTTCTAGACCTAGCTACTTCCTAATGGTAATTAATGCCATGACCGAGCTATAGCAAGCAAGGTAGACAAACAAAGAAAAAGAGCCGAGTTATGAGGAGAACCGCACAATGTCAGCTTAGTGGCGTGCCGTGCAAACATTGCACGGCACTGCATGTTACATAGCTAAGCTATTGGGGGACAGAGCAAAAGTAATCTGGTTACACTACAGAAAGCTGAGCAAAGGCTCGTGTCATCTCACTTGGCTTGCAGTCAGAAGGGTGTTAAAGGACAAGCATTATCCTTTGGGAATGTGATTTATAGGAGGACTTTACATAGGAGAGTTAGAATCCTATTAGGATTGTGCCATGCAGAATCTACAAGAGCTCAAACCAAACCATAATCTCAAGTATCACAATTCCTACTCCCAAATTCACAGAGCCTTTTGTCTTTTGTCAATTTGCTAACTTAGGCATCAGAAGGGTTTCCAATACACACCCATCGAGTAGCTCACGTTTGTATTTTTAGGTAATTGAACAACGGCATTTGGAGAAACGAAAGCTTGATCAAGAGGATTATACGAGAAATATTATTTCGTGCTCGTACAATTTGTAATTATAACCAAATATAAAAATTAAAAAATGAACATAATTTATAATTGAAAGCTCATTACTATAATTTATAATTGAAAAACTGTAATTAATACATCATTATATATACTTTTTTTTATTCATTCAACAATTTTCAGGAAAAAAATGGTGATTCATTTGATCTCTTCCACAATTTGCAAGTTCTTTATAAAAATTAACTTTTAAATTTTGTTGACTCGCCTTTTTTCCAGTAATGTTGTATAAATAAAATTGAGACAATTGCAAAAAAATGGTATCAATGTAAAATAATTGCAATGTCATGAAAGTAAAGTAATTTATGCATTAGATTGTGCAACTAAATTTTGAACTTTTATCTATTTGCAATTATTTTGAGTTTATACCATTTTTCCATAATTGTCCCAATAAAATTAAAATGTGTTATATATTTGCACTTTTATTCTTTATAAATACACTACACATTTTATTTTTAATGTGAAAATTGTTGGAAAAATACTGATTTTTTAGAAACTTTATGCTAATAATTTTGTAGGACCATAAGACGATTTTGGAGGGTCCAAGTAGCAATGTGTTCATTGTCGTGTGGAGAACAAGATTATGCAATTAGTAAGTCAAAACCGTTTATAGGTGAATAGAAAATTGACTCCAAAGTGAAATTTATGAACATGAGGCATGTTGATGTAAATTCCCAAATGGTGTTGAGTGTTCTTGTCCTACATAGATTGGAAAAGATTCTATAAGGTCGTAGTCTTAATTTTTTGCAGGAAAAAATTCAAATTTCATATTTGAATTTGCTCCAAAAAAATATAAAATTCAAAATTCAATTTGGTGTCTTTTCCGATCGAGTGTGACTTCCAGTGAATGGACATATATTTTCCAATTTAGTTTTTTATTGTTGCCTATTTAAAGGCAATCCTCCATCTTGTTTTGGTGGATAAAAAAAAAAAAAAATCCAAATTTTCTACTTTCTTCCTCCTCCTTTGTTTTATCCTACATATTCATTTTTTTTTTTAGAGTCTAAGTTTGAGAGAGTGCAAGGTACATAATCTGGTTCGCTGTACACATAGAGTTAGTGCAAATTTTGTGTGCGGTGATTGTTGTATCCTGGAAACAGGACGCCTATTAGTCTCGAGCACCAGTGGACAGGGCGTTATTCTGTCTTAAAGATATAGTGTCCATACACTAACCTCAATCACAACTTCGTTCAAGAGTTTGATCTTCGAAAGGTGTAAGTTTATTTTATTTTATTTATTCGCAATTATTAATTTTACCGAAATTATTGTCAAACAAAAATAACATAAAACAATTCTCAACGCTTAACATTTAGGTTGTGATTACGGAAAAAAAGAAGTGCAAATAGTAATCCCATAACATTATGAATTTTTTAAGGAATGACCAAAGGGAAATTGGTGGAAGACAGAGTAATAAATTTGAGATGGGATAAGAAACTACACTGAGAATAAAGCACCATAGTCAGATGTGTTTAATCTGTTGTTGTGTATCAATTCATGAGAATGGGAAATTGGTAGCTGGGGTGAACAATTCATTTATCACTTTGATCCCAAAAATTGACTACCCAACTAGTATCTCAGATTTCAGACCAATTAGTCTTATTGGGTCTCTGTATAAGATATTAGCTAAGGTTTTATCACACAGATTGAAGAATGTGGTGCCTAGGGTGGTTGGAGAGGCACAATCATCTTTTTTTGGAGGTAGAAATATTCTGAATTGTGTTCTAATTGCTAATGAGATTGTTAATTAGTAGAAGGGGAATAGAAAAAAGAAAAAAAAAGTATTGATACTCAAGCTTGATTTCCAGAAGGCGTATGACTCTATAAGCTGGGATTGCTTGTTGTCTATGATGGAAGAGTTTGGGTTTGGGGCAAGATGGAGAGGTTGGATCAATAAATGTTTAACATCGGCCAGAGTGTCTGTTTTAGTGAATGGCTCCCCTTTGGCTAAGTTCATTCTTGAAAAAGGCCTTAGGCAAGGTTGTCTCTCTTTCTTTTTAATTTGGTAGCTGAAGGTCTGAATATGTTAATATAAAGGACCAGATCATTGGGGCTGGTAAGGGGAGTTGTAGTGGGTAAAGATGAAGTGGAGGTTTCACATTTCCAATTTGCAGAGGATACAATAATTTTTTGTGAAACTAAAATGGAGGAAGTCATGGTAGTTAAAAGAATTTTGAGATGTTTTGAACTAATTTCAGGTTTGAAGATTAATTTCCACAAGAGTTTCGTGTGTGGTATTGATGTGTATGAATTAGCGGTGGAGGAGTTCACATCCAGACTCAATTGCAGATGTCAAATATGACACCTTAAATGTTTAATTAAATATCACAAATATATATATATATATATATATATATATTTGGAGTGTATATTGAATGGTTGATAAAATGAAATGTTAATAATAATAAATAAATAAATAAATATAAATTTTTTTTGATTTGCTAGGATAAGCAGGATAAGCCCCTGGATAAGTCATCTAGGGAGGCAGCAGATGGCAATTGGTTTGAGTGACATGTGGTGGCAAAACTCACCACATGGCTGTGCACATTACCCCTATAAACAATGAGTCGTTGAGCTTCGAAAAAGAACAAGAAAGAGATACATAGATACAAAACAAGTACATCATACTAGTAAGCAATAATAGGGAAGTAAAGGCTAAGGGTCGATAATATGGTGAGTAATATTATACCTTGAGTCACCATAATATATTTTACGAATGTTTTAAGTTACCACGAATTATTTTATATAATTTATGTTTTATGGTTATATTAATATTTCAATTGCGTGGATTATTTTTGAACTCTATTTGCTTAAATTGAAGCACATGGATATATTTGTTTAAATTTTAGAAAATATTTGACAATGATTTTATAAACATTTGTTTTGAAAAAGTACCACCACTGAGGTCCCATGCCTTGGGGACTTAAATAATTACTGGCCCTCTGAATTGTTACTTTAGTAACCCTCTAACAGTCTCATGTCTTGGGGGACTTAAATAACCTTTGACCCTCTGATTAGTCACTTCGTGACCCTCTATCTGTCATGGATCCATTGACCATCTGTTCTGTTCTATACCGTGGTTGTAATTATTTTGTTTATATGATTTTGTGTTATATATCTGTTATTAAAAAAATAATTTATTCGAACTAAACTGTTCATCGTTTAGCCTAAATAATTGTCCATGGTGATTTTTATACCCTCATGCTCTCAGTA